ACCTTCCTTCCGAGGAGTGGCTGGTGGGTTTGAACCGCCAGCCTTCTGGTTAGCAGTCAAGTGCCTTAGCCACTATGCTACCAGAGCTCCATATAGGTCAGCTTAAACTTGCTAAACTACAACTGGGCAACTTCACTCTCTCCTCAGAAATCTTCAATGATTTCCCATTGTCCACTGAAAAAAAGGTCAAGCTATTTACAATGGTCTTCCATGATCTGTCTCCAATTTACTTTTCTAGCTTTCTTGGTCCTTGCCATTTTCCAGACATATATTTCTTACACTTTCAGACTTTCATAGCTTTTGGCTTTCTTCCTCTCTGGAATGGCTTCTGCTCCTTCAATCCTCTACGTTGTAGTGCAATTGTCACTGAGTCTTTATTTACTCATTAAATTGCTTCCTTTATGGGAAGAAGGAATGTACTATTCATCTATAGTGCTAACCTAATATAACACTTTGTCTCTAATAAGGATTCAAGAAATGTCTTCTGTGGAGCAGCCATCTAAGATGGAGCTTTTGGTCTCTCCCCATTCAGAACAAAGAAGAATGAAGAAAATCAAAGATGCATGTAAATAAGCAACCCAAAGGACTAATGGACATGAACCCCAGTATCCGTGACTATAACAGAAAAACTAGATGGTGCCGAGTTCCCACTACTGACTGCTCTGAAGGGATCACAATAGGCGTCCTGGAGAGAGAGAGAAAAAAAAAAAATGTGGAAAATTCAAAATAGTAACAAAAGACCAGGCTTACTGGTCTGACAGAGACTGGTGGAACCCCTGAGACTATGGCCTTTAGATATACTTCAAACCTGAAACTGAACTCACACCATGGCTCATGTTTCAGCCAGAAGACAGATAGGCCTATAAGATGAACAATAACACCAGGATAACTTTTCACTGGAAAAGATATCCATACTTTTAAGACTCATATTTACTCCACAGCAGATGGTACTTCTTAGAACAATCAACCATATGAAATCAGAAGAGCAACCAACATCTGTCCAGAGATAAAGCTCAGACAGCAGAAAGGGATAGGAAAGCAGCATGAGTGGAAAACAGTAAAACACAGGGAGGAAATAGAAAGGATGCTGTTGCAGTGTTGGGACTGCAATTAAAATCACAAAATATAATGTGTATGAATTGTTGAATGAAAAACCAATTTGCTCTGTAAAGCTTCACCCAAATCACAATAAGAAGTTTTAAAAACAGTAACAATAGAAGATTTAAATAATAAAAAACAAACTCACTGCCATCAAGTCTACTCCGATTCATAGCAACCTCTCCTTGGGTATCACTACGGAAGTAGATCGCCCAACCTTCATTCTGAGGAGTGGCTGGTGAGTTTGAACCACCAGCTTTCTGGTTAGCAGTCAGATGCTTTAGGCACTAATTTACTAATTATCATTTACAGAACACACCACCCCAAAACAGCAGAATATATATTCAGCTCAAGAGTTCATGAAACATTAGCCAAGACAGACTACATTCTGGGACAGAAAATAAGTCTTCAACAAAATGTGTACTGAATAAAGGTTGTTGTTGTTGTTGTTATGTGCCGTCGAGTCGGCCCCGACTCATAGCGACCCCTCCTTGGGTTTCCGAGGCAGTATCACTACGGAAGTAGGATTGCCCAACCTTCCTTCCGAGGAGTGGCTGGTGGGTTTGAACCGGAATAAAGGTTGGATGGTAAAATACTGTTATGGATTGAATTGTGTCTTCCAGAAAGATATATTAAAGTCCTAACCCCAGTTCCTGTAATATGACCCTGTATGGAAAGGGGTTTCTTTTGTTATGTTAATGAGGCCACAGCACAGGTAGGCAAGTCCTAAACCTAATCACTTCTGGACTGTGTCTTATAAAAGAGCAGAATAGATAGAGAGGGGGGTAAGGGTGGGGGGTGGGACCTATAAGTAAAGAAACACCAAGGTTGCCAGCAGGCACCAGAAAGTGGGAGAAAGGACCACAGAAGGAATTGACATGGCCAAGACCCTGATTTGATTTAGACATTTAACCTCCAAAACTGTGAGAAAATACTTTTTGTTATGACAGCACTAGGTAATTAAGACACTTAAATTTACCTATACTTTCTTCTATCTTAACCAAATAAAGAGGGTAGGGAGTTGACATAATGGGTTCACTCACTGGCCTATGACTCAACAGGCTGGAAAAATAAACAGGGTTCCTGATTCCTAATCCAAGCTATTTTCACTGGAAAAGATATCCATGCTTTTAAGACTCATATTTACTCCACAGCAGAAGAGAACATGCAATGTTATTTGTAATTCTTGTGAGCCGTTGGTACAAAACCACAGAAAAGTGATTAGAAATCCTTGCAAGACTGAGTAAAACATAAGCAATCTGCAAGAAAAATCCATACATTAAAACAAAGGCAGAAACACTTGCCTTACCACATTTTCCATAATTCTTCTCAGTGCTTTTCTTCCTCTCAATTAGGCATTTCCTATACTAACAGCCTCTTCGTTGCTAGCTGATGTAATGATCCAAGCAGAAAGCAGCTTTTAATTGCTCCTGTGCTATTTCTCCTTTTAAGTGCTTGGATGCTGCTTTGAGAGTTTAACCTAGGTACTACATGAACCATGCATAGCAATGCAGTTTTTTTCTCCTAAGGTGACTTAGATAACGATGCCCCTAAATGACAGGTTCCCTGGAATTCCTACTACATAATAAACATGTTAAAATAATCTAGGTATGGACCACTGAATTTTATATCAAAGACATCAAATCTAATCTAACCTACTTCTTTTTTCTTTCTAATAGAGGAAACTGAGCTTGGAAGAGAAATGTTGTCTAGAAGTTTCCATGATAACTAGAACCCAGAGCTTTCTGACTCCCAAGATAAAGCTAAGTTTACTCTACACTGTGCAGTGTTTAAAACTCTCAAAGCAGATACTACTATTTTCAAATGGTAAAACAGGTTCAGAAGATGAAATTACCCAGGTATCTTTTTGTTAGGCATACACCAAGAGCTAGGATTACACTCGCTCTGAGGAGCTCTAGTGGCACAGTGGTTAAGCACTCAGCTGAGAACCAAAAGGTTGGCAATTCAAACCCACCAGCTGCCCCATGGGAGAGAAATCTGGAAATCTGCTTCTGTAAAAATTATAGCCTTAGAAAACTTATGGGGCAGTTCTACTGTGTCCTATAGGGTCACTGAAGGAGCTCTGGTGCAGTGGTTAAAGCATTTGGCTGCTAATCAGAAGGTAGGCAGTTTGAACCCACCAGCAGCTCTGTGGGAGAAAGATGAGGCAATCTGCTCCCATAAAGATTTATAGCTTTGGAAACCCTGTGGGGCAGTTCTACTCTGTCCCATCCAGTTGCTACAGTCAGAATTAACTCAATAGCAGTAGGTTTGGGTTTGGGGTATAGGGTCACCATGAGTCAGAATCCACTTGATGGCAGTGTGTGTGTGGGGGGGATACACTCTCTCTGGTACGGTACACTTCAATATTATTGAATTTTGTAAAAGTTCCAAGACTAAAAATTTAAAGTAAAATCTAGTTAAATAAATTGTACAGAAACCACTAGACTTTCATGTAAGTGGTAATGTATCATCAGTATAGCCAACTCTAAATTCAAGTCATTGACCTATGTGTAAAGTATCCAAAGCCCATTGGCCATTACCAATCCTCCAGGCTAGCTAGTGTTCAGAGAGCTGAACTCATTGTACAACAACACTAAACATGTGAAGAGTAAATTTTTAAATAAAAAATGCAATGAATGTGGAATGATCAGATGTTCTGGAAAATTTTCAGTAGTTTGCACACTTTAAATTATATTGCAGAAAAATAACTTTAGGGTGCATTACTATATTGAACTACTCAACTTCAGCTAGTAAAACCATACTCCAAAACAGGTACTCCCTCCAGAAAACCTGTCATAAATATATACTGTTCTGGAATATATACAGAACCTAGCAAACACTCTTAAAGTCTCATTTGCTGATACCTCTTCCTCCTCATCCACCCCATGAGATCCAAATCTAAGAATCAGACAAACGACTTCTTACCAGTCCTTCCCACTGAAAAAAATCATGTGACTATCACCACCATTTGACTAAGCAAATCATCCAATTAAAAAAAACCACACACTACAATCTTGCTGTAAGAAAAAATTTTTTTCAATTAATTTTTCTAGACGCACAGAAGGTACTTTTAGGCCTTATTCTGAGAATTTACTATTCCAAACTGCTTACAAGGTAAAAATTTAACCATGTAGAAGTTGCTGGAACATAGTGGACAACAACCCTTCTCTTTAAGTATGACAAGCTAGAGGGCAAGTATTGGCTTAATATTTTAATTCCTTTTCCCTGCCAATTACTGCTACATGACTGAGTCCTATTCGAGTTTATGGTTTCCTAGAACAGCTGGACAGAGTATACGGATCCTTGAAAAGACTTCTTCCACTATGAGAAAGGAGGAAAACTCCGCGAGGTCTGATATCCATACCATGGCAAACAAGAAAATGAAAATGACGGTAAAAAGGCAACCCCAAAATGGGAATCTATGGGAGACAGAAGGCTCACAAGCAAATCCAAGAATTTAAGTCAGGTAAAATGACCGGTAACCTCGGGGAGGCGGGACTCGCGAGCGCTAAACCCAGGTTCCAGGCCCCTCAGGGGTGTGGCCTGGTGGCCAAGCTTACAGTGACAAACTTCGAGTACCCCCGCAAAGACGCAGCCCTGCTCTGGTCACAGTGGTGGGTGCGGGTCAGATGGTCCAGCCACCCTGGGAGACACAGCCCAGACCGGACTTCCAGGGCCACGAAGAGGAAGAAGAACGGCGGCCCGGCTCACCTTTGAAGAAGCGCAGCGCCAGGCCGTACAGCTCCTCCAGGCCAAAGCCCCAGTGCAGCTCCAGCCGCCGCGCCTCCTCCGCCGCGCCCCCAGCCGCCGCCTCCCCAGGCTCAGGCTGCTCCCCTGCGTCGCCCAGGCCCCGGCCAGACCCCGGAGGTGAGGGTGGCGGCAGCGGCGGTGGCAGTAGCGGAGCGCCCTCCGCACCGGGCCGCTCCTCCGGGTCTGGGCTTAGCGTGAGGCCGTCGACAGAGACCTCCAGTCGCTCTGCGTTCAGCACCGCCGCCATCTCCGGCTGCTGCGCCTCCTCAGCGGGAACAGGCGGCGGCCACGTATCGACTTCCTGCTGACCTCTGACCTCCACACACCGACACCGGAACTTCCGTTGCTGAGGAGGCTCAAGGGCTCCGGGAGAGGGGCTGAGGCCTAGTGCCCCGCCCCGCGGACCATCAGTCACGCCCTCTCTGCGACCACCCGCCCCGCCCTCAGGTCTCGCAGCCTCTGGGGGCCCCGCCCTGCCCTTACTCCATCCGCTCGGATCCTGGATTCTCGCGATTCGCGAGTGCTACACCCCAGCAACCCGCTAATCCTAGCCATCCTTTCCGTTCTATTACACCCTGCAACTGCTGGTGTCCGGCGGGCGTCCGGTCGGGAGAGCCCGTGTGGGGTCAGTGAGGAAAGGATGCTATAGGCAAGTGCCCTACCCCTCTGGCCAGAGTCCTTCATGATTGTGGGCAGTTGCGTGGTTTGCTGAACTCTTGCCTCCCAGTTTCGTTTGTTTTCACAACGTATTTTAGGAAATGCAGGGCAAATGCCTTTTTTTTTCCCCCTACAGAGGAAACTGAGGCAGCAGAGAGCAGTGGTTTTTCTGAGGTGCTTGTAGACGACGGATCCTAGTTTTGCTGAAGCTCATACAATTTGTGGGGCCCTTTTTAAGATACTACAGGAGATTACAGACAGAAAGTTAAGTAGGACAGTGAATATATATTTTGACAGAGAAATCACAGATGACATTTTTAAACAGGCACTTGACTCCTAACCAGAAGGCTGGCGGTTCAAACCCACCAGCCACTCCTCGGAAGGAAAGTTGGGCAATCTGCTTCTGTAGAGATACGGCCTGGGAAACCCTAGGAGGGGTCCTATGAGTCGGTCCGATTTGAGAGCATATAACAACAACAACAAATCAAACATCTAAGCCTCTTGCCAATATTTTTTGCAAATCCATAGACAGCACACAACCATAAAATTTTTATTAATTGCCTGATACACGTCTACATGGTGTTTATAAGTCTGAAAGCACCCTTTAAGTTGTATTTGTTTTAAATATTAAAGATGTATGCATAAGTGTCTAAAATCAGAGGCACTTGGTGTAAATAGAGCAGTGTGAAAGCAGAGCGTTCATTCCATTTTAAAGTGAGCGTGGAATCCATGTTGACTTTTAAAGCTACCTTTTCTAACAGCATTTTCTCTAACTTGTTGTTGACCTAACTATGTACCCTAAAGGATACAGTCTTTTTTTCTGAAGTCTGGCAAGTGTAGGCTATCACAATCTATTCCCAAAGGGTCTTTCCTCTGTGGTGAACCAGATGCAAGATGTTATAGCTTATGTGCAATTTTAATGGCAGGTGTTTTGGTTACCTAGTACTGCTCTGACAAGAATATACCACAAATGGGATGTCTTGAACAAACAGAAGTTTATTCTCTTACAGTTTGGAGGCTTTAAATCCAAGTTCAAAGTGCCAGGTTCTAGGCTGGGTGAAAGCCCCCTGACCTTGGGCTTCAGCTTTGCCTCCTGCTCCCAGCCCACAAGCTGGAGGCTTTTCTTCACTCAGCTTTTGGCTGCTGAGGCTGACAAGCCCAAGGTTGACAAGTAAAAAGGCACAGTCCCGATGTTACCAAACCACATGGCAGGCCATTAATTCAAGTCCATTGAAAGTTCCAAGGTCGGCAGAGCATGGCAAGCTGCTGAACAATCACATGGCTACATGCAGGATTCATGCATGCCATAAGCTAGAGACTATCCCCAAGGCTGCTTCTTATATGCAGGAAGAAGACCACATCCCCAAGGCAGCTACTCAGCTGCTCATAGTAGATTCCACCTTGGAGTTGATTACCAGTCTAATTGTGGAGAATGCTATATCCAGCTGCCCTGCCACTCAACCAGGCCCAGCCAAGTTGACACACAAACTCTACTACCACAGTAGGTTACCAGACAAACCTGTCTTGCTGTTATCCTGTAACCATCCTGTAATAAACTGAAGGGCATGTACACTTAAAATTATGTACCTTTAACCAATAATGTAATCCCACATATATGTTATCCAACTATCCCTGCTAAGTCTTCACCTTAGATGTTCCACTTTTGACCCTCCTGATTATCTTTCAGCCAATTAGATTTTCTAACGTTTGGTTCCTGCTCCAACTATACAAAAATGTTTTCTTCATTTTCCAGCGGAGTGGCCATTTGCACTGTGAATGTGGACATCTTCCCAGTCCAGACTTTCTCTATTCCTCAATAAACCTCCTTTGCTTTTACTTTAAGCAGACTCTGATATTGCTCTATGATGTATCTTGGTGTCAGAAGTGGGATCGAAGGTGCATTGCCTTCAGCAACTCCTGAGGGCTCAGGAGTGGACTTCAGTATCAAGCAAAGCTGTTTAGGTTCACTGCTTTAAGAATTTCTCAGGAATTGCCACTAGGTAAATAACCTCTTGAACCTTGAGCTCTGTCTTTTTGTATAGAGCTTTTCAAGGTTATTGAGGGCGTCTAGCTTTGTTCGTCTTTAACTGTTTCATTTTGTCTTATCTGTTTTTAATTCTAGTCTTGCAGGAATTTTTACCAAAGGTTATTTGCCTTTACTAGTGGCAGTGGAGGAGCTCTGGTAGCATAGTGCCTAAGGTATTTGACTACTAACCAGAAGGCTGGTAGTTCAAACCCACCAGCCACTCCTCAAAAGGAAGGTTGGGCAATCTACTTCCGTAGTGATACCACCTTGGAAACCCAAGGAGGGGTCGCTATGAGTTGGGGCCAACTCGATGGCACATAACAACAACAGTGGCAGTAGTGTGAAGTTCTGGTTCTTTCTTTTGAAAGAGTTTATTTGCCTTTGCTGGTGGTAGCAATGCAAGGTTCTGGGTAAATTATTGTCCTGTTGTTGGTGTTAGATGCCATCCAGCCAGCTCTGACTCATAGCGACCCTTTGTACAACAGAATGAAACACTGCTCAGTCCTGCACCATCCTCACAATCCTTGCTATGCTTGAGCCCATCGTTGCAGCCACTGTGTAAATGCATCTCCTTGAGGGTCTTCCCCTTCTTTGCTGACCCTCTACTTTACCAAGCATGATATTGTTCTCCAGGGAATGGTCTCTTCTGATAATATGACCAAAGTATGTGAGACAAAGTCTGGCCATTCTTGCTTCCAAGGGGCATTCCAGCTACACTTCTTCCAGGACAGATTTGTTTGTTCTTCTGGAAAGCCATGGTATTTTAAGTATTCTTCACCCACATCACAATTCAAAGGCATCAACTCTTTTTCAATCTTCCTTATTCATTGTCCAACTTTCACATGCATGTGAGGCAATTGAAAATACCATGGCTTGGGTTAGGCGCACCTTAATCATCAAAGAGACATCTTTGCTCTTCAGCACTTTAAAGAGGTCTTTTGCAGCAGATTTGCCCAATGGGTGTTGATTGTGGTTCCAAGTAAAATGAATTTGTCCTAGAAGTGTTTGAGTTTGTGGAATCTAGGACTATATAAGCTAGTAAATCAAAGGGCACAGGATGACCAATAAAAGCTGATCAGGTGTTTGCCAGCTGTGAAAGATGGTTAAAGACTTCTGTATCAGGATAAGCTGGTTCAGAGGACAAGCCAAAAACTCTAGACCACCTGCCAGCCACAAGACAACACCTCTGCAACTCTGAGGCACACATAATTTAAGCTATACACTGTCAAAACCTCATGGCACACCCTGTCGGAATGTTACTAAGCCTAAACCGTGAATGTACTTAAACCATCTCTGTAAATGGTAAATGCTGTATCTGAGGGCAATGCAGAATTCCCTCATGGGACTCCTGCCCAATATACACCAAGCTTGCTTTCTGTTTTTCCGTATGAGAATGCTACAGACATCATAGAACACTTTCTGTTTGTTGGCAATTGTTATCTCCAGGTATAGATAAGACTACCTTCAATCTAGGATGCAGCTCTTGCATATGTCTTAATACTGCGTTTTAGCTTTGGTAGCATAGTGCCTAAGGCACTTGACTGCTAACCAGAAGACTTGCGGTTCAAACCCACCAGCCACTCCTCAGAAGGAAGGTTGGGCAATCTACTTCTGTAGTGATACTGCCTCGGAAACCCAAAGAAGATCATTATGAGTCAGGTCTGACTTGATGGCACATAACAACATAACAGGAGGGCATGGTTGTATCTGCAGATTTATAAATCTTAAGAGAAATTGCTGAATTCTGGTAAGGGGTGGAGAATGGCACCTCAAAGGAAAATGACATGCCATTTAACCAGAGATTAGGAACCTGATTGATGGCTGGTTTTAGGGGAATTTTAGGTAGTTAGGAGCTCTGGTAGCATAGTGGCTAAGACACTTGCCTGCTAACCAGACGGCTGGTGGTTCAA